CTTCGATTCGGCAGAGCGGCTGGTGGCGGTGGGGGACGGCGGTGGGGGGGTGGGGTGGGGGTTCTGGAGGGTGGAGGCCGCCTAGCCTAGGGGACGAGTAACGTCTCACGGGTGCGCTACTCAGTAACGGAGGAGGGAGCTGCGGCTGGGTGGACTGGGTCTACGGGAGCTGCGAAGGCGGGGAGAGGATTCTGTGCTCTATGGTACGGAGAGCGGTGCTTGAAGACCGGGTTCGTCGAGGTCTCGGGTTTGGCAGAGGACGGGAGAGATCTTTGTGTCTCGTGAAGTCGTGCGTGCTGGTCTCGTGGAGTCGTGACGACGTGTTGCCGTGGTTTCCGGTGGATCGCGTGAAATGCCCAATCCCGAGAGCGATGTTTGTACCACTACTCCTATCGGAACCGGAATTTCCTAACAACATCCAAGAAATATGGTCTCATGCGTCTCTAGAAATGCTCATTAGGGCATGAACCATGGAGGCGTCATGTTGGTGCTGCCTCACGCCCATCCAGGTAGATGAGGTTGCCAGTGAGATCTACATGCATCAAGATAGACAATAGTACTTTATCAATGACTATCTTTTCCTCCCCCCTCACTCTTCTGTTCATGCATTTTTCACCATCTTTCACCGGTTCATTATTTCTTTCTTTTTTTTCTCTCTCTTCTCTTTTCCTCATTTCTTCAATTTTTTGTAGGGAAGAGACCGGTTAACTTGCAAGAGGTAGCTTTCTTCTAAAAACAACTTAGTTAACCTCATTTGGATCCACCCGCAAAAAAAACTCGTTTGGATCACTGTGGATGATGCGATAATTGGGGCAGTTGTCCAGCGTGAAGCATTGGCCATGTCGAGTATTTACAACGGGAGTTGTCTAATTTGTCTCCCTATACGCATGTGACGCGTCTGGGCGTGTCGGCTGGAAGTGACCGGGCATACCCATTTGTATCACCCCACAACCACACCCCCGCCTTTCGGGTTAACTAATGCACCTCGCACTTTCATGAGATTAATGAATAAAGTTTTACGTGCCTTTGTTAAACGGTTTGTGATAGCCTATTTTGATGACATACTGATTTATAGCAAATCTTTGAAGGAACACTTGGATCATTTACGTGATGTTTTTATTGCTCGACGCGATGCACATTTGTTTGGTAAGCTTGGAAAGTGCACCTTTTGCACCGACTGAATACTGGCATGGCTCACGGAAAATTGAAGTTGATAAAGCCAAGATCGAAGCGATTAGCGATTGAGAATTGGCCGCAACACAAAACGGTCACATAAGTGTGGAGTTTTCTTGGACTCGTTGGATTTTATAGGCTTTTTGTGAAAGATTTCAGCATCATTGTTGCACCTCTCAATGAGTTTAGAAAAAAAAGATACTCATTTGTTTGGCCTACTGCACAGAAAGAAACCTTCACGATATTGAAAGATAAGTTAACACATGCTCCTTTGCTTCAATATCTTGATTTTAATAAGATCTTTGAGCTTGAATGTGATGGTAGTCAAATTGGATTAGACGGTATTGTAGGGAACATTGCATGGAAAACAAAACAAAAATTTACACACACGCAAGATCTATCCATGGAGATACATAGCTACGAGAGGATAGAGTGTTTCTATGTACCCTCGTAGACCGTTAAGCGGAAGCGTTTATCACGCAGTTGATGTATTCATACTCTTCGCGATCTGTTGGGGATATAACTATTGGGTATAACCCGCCCAGGAGGGGCCGGGTCATACCACTGGCGGTTCGTAATGACAAGGCCCATGAAGATGGCGGTTCACGAAGCAAGCTTACTGAAGGCCCAAGACCCAAAGCCGACTTGAGGCCAACGGGTGTAAACCACCATATGTTAACTTGTACGTTAAGAAAAGTGTAGATTCTGTCACCGAGCCGGACACGTTGTGTATGAGCCGGCCGGGACTCTGTAGGGCGCCGGGCATCAGCCTATGTATATAAAGGGGTGACCCGGCGGCGGTTTAGGGCAAGAAAGAAGAGATCGAGAACTAGGTCAAGCGTATTCGCTCCTTGGTAATCGAAGCCCAAGCAATACAACCCTAAACTAGAGTAGGCCTTTACCTCCACCGTGAGGGGCTGAACCAGTATAAACTCTATGTGTCCCTTGTCCCATTTTAACCCCTTCAAGCTAACTACATTGTGATGGCTCCACACCTAAGTCCTCATGTTAGGGCATCTGACGTGACAATTCCACGACAGTTGGCGCCCATCGTGGGGCCAGCGCACGGTGGTTTCGAGTTCTTGAAGGGCAGCTTCGCAGGGCTCAAAGGGTACGTTGTGGGCCGGATGACCAAGAGTCATCGTGGAAAGATCTACATCAACGATGAGGGCTGGGGCCCCGAGGCCGGCTCAATCAAGTACGGGTACCGGGTCCCCTTGGCGGAATCCACGTCTTCATTGGCAAGATTGGTGGGTCGGAAGCTGAGCCGGACATCTGCGCCGACATGTCGAGTTGGCTCGGCGCGCGCGACCCGCCAAGGTTAAGGCCGCCCCGAAGCATGTCTTTGTTGGTTTCATTCATGGAGGGGAGCTAGACGGAGGATCGGAATCTGGTGGTATGGTTGTCTACTTAGGCGACGAGTCCTCTACTGGCAAGACCAATTCCATCTATCAGGTTTAGGATGGCGGGCTTGGGGGCTGTTCCGATGGTGACAGTATTCCGGACCCCTACGAGGCACCACACCGGGTCACGATCTTCATGGCTGGTACACAGTCATGGAAGGATTCTATGACTGCAATAGCAATGATCTCCGGGTCAGCGACAGCGACGGCTGCCGGGGCAGGAGGCCCTGTGCACCCGCCGGCTCAAGTCTTGTCTGATTTGTTGGATGCTCTGACAACGTTGTTGACGGCGGAGGTTAACCCGGCAAATCAAACTCAGCATAACGTGGAGGTCGCAAAATTGCGTGATGAGATAGCACAAGCCAAGGAGGAGCTAAACACGGAGAACACCCGGATGGCAACGGAGCGAGATCAATTACCTTGCAGAGGGAGGCAAGACGGCTTCAGGCAGAGAGCTTCTGCTTAAGCCTGGACCGGGACGCATCAAACATTGTCTTCAACAAAAGACATGTGAGCAGGCTGCCCCCGACTTACGATGCGAGGAACCTTTTCAACACGCATGGGGCAGGAACCACTAACCCGCCTGGTGTGGATAGGGCCGTTGAGGCGCCGGCGACTGGTGAACCGGTTCAGCCACGTGCTACAGACCCCCCACGTTTGAACTTGACCCCTCCTCAGCATGTTCCAATGCCTCCGGGGCATTTTTCTAACCCCTTGGATAACATGATCGCTGCGGCTACTTGGCTGGTGGCTCTCCCAGCTTAGGATGAGTTGCCAGCAGCAATGGAAATACGGCGAGTCAGAGAACTTCTTTAGACGGCTGTGGCCCAACAGGCGGCTTATTCATACAGTCGTGATCGTATCCACTCAACACCACGTCCAAGCAGGAGTTATAACAGACATATTGATGAACCGGCCGTGTCAAGCAGTGAAGAGCACCGCAATCAGTCTCATAGGCCTAACCCGCCACGTGCTGGTAATGATGCACAGGCTTTGGTAGACCAGGGTAGAGCACGGCGTGAGGCGGAGCTAGCGGCTTAGTTGGCGGCTCAACAACAATCTCCGGTTTATCCTTCGGTGTCCATGGAGGCAGGGGTGACCTCTAGAACCTTGGGGGTGCCGTGTTTAGTGCCGGCTCTTCACAATGAGCGCTTGCCTAAGGATTTCAAGTGCCCCCGTGAGGTGCCTAACTACATGGCGGATCAACCCCAGAGGCGTGGCTTGAGAGCTATGAGATGGCTATGGAGATGCTGGATGTCAATGATGCGGCATGTGCTAAGTATTTTACCATGATGTTGGACGGGCCAGCTCGTACTTGGTTGAAAAGCTTGCCCGCTATCTCCATTGGATCATGGGCAGAGTTGAAAAGGCGTTTTATTCAAATTTTAAAGATACATGCAAGCAGCCTATGTCAATTCTGGATTTGGATTCTTGCGTCCAAGGTAAAGGTGAATCAACAACCAATTGGGTGCGCCGGATTTCAGCTGTTATACACTCTTTGGACAGTATCAATGCCGGTTCAGCAGTCCTGATGTTGGAGAAGAATTGTCGCTTCCTTCCCC